ATAATACAATATAATATACTATAATATACTATACTATGATATAATATACTATACTATACTGTTATATACTGTAATATATTATACTATTATATAATATAATACAATATAATATAATATAATACAATATAATATACTATAATATACTATACTATGATATAATATACTATACTATACTGTTATATACTGTAATATACTATACTATTATATAATATAATACAATATAATATAATATAATACAATATAATATACTATAATATACTATACTATGATATAATATACTATACTATACTGTAATATACTATGATATACTATAATATAATATAATATAATACAATATAATATACTATAATATACTATACTATGATATAATATACTATACTATACTGTAATATACTATGATATACTATAATATAATATAATATACTGTACTACACTACATTATACTATACTATAATATAATACACTACACTATACTGTAATATACTACACTGTACTATACTATACTGTATTAAAATATACTATACTATTATATAAAATACTATACTATAATATAATACACTATGGTATAATATACTATACTGTAATATAATATACTACAATATAATATAGTATAATAGAATAGAATAGAATAGAATAGAATAGAATATATTACATAACATTTTATTATATTGTATTACTTACATTATTTAATAAATATATTATATATTTAATAAAACATTCCATTACACAGTATCATATCAGATCATATTTTACTACATTATACTATGTAAAGTCGAGTACTTATTTCGATTTATTTAAAATGTAAAGTCACGATTTTATGGCATATACACGATTGGATGCAAATACTTTCTTAAGTGCACGGTCCTTGCAGTTCCTGTATATAATATATAACAATATATACAGTATATACATATACATATATATTGTTATATAATAAGTGAAGAAGTTGAGGATGACATTATTTTCAGTCATGGTTGATGTGAGTCTGTCTGGACCAGTACCAGAGTGGACCAGTACCAGAGTGGACCAGTACCAGAGTGGACCAGTACCAGTCCTGGTTCTCGCCTCTTTGTACCACATACAGTATCACAACAGGAATTTAATAAATAACGACACAGGAATCGAACGTAACGTGTAACATATAAAGGTCATACATTTATTTATTTTACTTCAAACACGTGAAAAATATGAAAAAAAAAAACATGACCCTGCTGCAGCACATATTTGGACCTCTTATGGACTGCAGACCCCGGCTTTGACATCTGTATTTATTTCTTAACATTCTGGTGAGAATTCATTCGCAGTTTTTTTTTTTAAATCTGCCTGATCATCTTCAGTAAAGCCTGCGAACACTGACCTCCCAACGACAATATATATATATATATATAAATATATATATACGTATATATATATATATTTATATATATATATATACGTACAGTACTGTATATATTTCATTATATATTTATACTTTAACGGGTCATGCCGTGTGGTTGAGCGCAGCCTCCTGGTAATTGGCTCGGGCATTTTTTTTTTTTTTTGCTTTATTTTTTTTTTTTTTTGCTTTATTTTTTTTTTTTTTTGCTTTATTTTTTTTTTTTTTTACGCAGGTTTAAAGATTAATTTCCTCGCCGAGATAAATGAGCCCTCATTGGTTCAAATCCACGAGGATCCGTTAGCAAACACCTGACAGTAATTCAATTAAAAAGGTTTGCATTTCCCTTGTTTATTTTCCCACCCACACACATACACACACATTCGTACGTACTTTCGTAGCATTAGCGTTAAAGCGGTGCCACTTTCATTTACATAGCAGCATGTTGTTAAGGTCGCGCGTTGACATTTAATTAAAACGTTTACATTTCTGCTTAATTAATTCAGCCGACGCCCAAAAGAAAAGACAAATGGACGGGCCGCGGTGACAGGAGACCAATAACTGTGTGTGTGTGTGTGTGTTAAGGTCACAGCAGGCTGACTATTATATTCTCCTCTTAATTCCTGCAGGTAAACAGACCGAAGGAGTGGATTAAACCAAACGATTAATCGTCCATGAAAGGGTTAAAGTTTGTTTTGTTTTTTTTAATGTGAGAAAAAAAGAAATATTTATTAGACGGACTTGTGTTATATAATTTAATAATAATTTAAAAGAGACAAAATTACACTTAAAAAACAATAAAACAACAACAGTTTTATCTCGCTTTTAACAGCTCTCTAACAGCCCACAGGGGGGCAGTAATGAACCTAAAGTTTAATTGTTTGCGAGTCGGAAGAAGACGAGCAGAATCCGAACCCGCCTCCCCCACCCTTAAATAGGGGTGACGCCATTTTGTAGTGGTGTTTGAATGTTTTTAACGCGTAGAAGTCGTCCACTATAAAGAACACTCGATGTATCCCATAATGCACTGTGATGCACAACCAATGGTAGAAAGATAGATAGAACTTTATCAATCCCTCGGGGAGGGAATCGAACCCGGGGCTCCCGCGTGGCAGGAGAGAATTCTACCACTGAACCACCAATGCTAGCTTCTCCCTTACTCAGGCAATATATCCCATCATGCATTGCAGTCGCGACAACGTGGCGGAGAGAGAGGAACAGCGACACATGAGATTTTTTTTGGGTCGTTTCACATCATGTTGCCCAGGAGTTTACGAATAATATCTATTGACTTGGGTCGCAAAGTTTTGTGACTTGATAAAAAAAGTGCACTATATATAATTTCCTATAGGGGGTGTAGGGAGTGATTCTGGACACGACCCATTTAATGTCTCATTGTCCTCATTCTACCATCAGGGGACGAAGACAGGAGACAGACAGACTGACTGACCGTAGATTTGTTCTGTGACCATAGCTTTACAACACTGCCACCTAGGTGCAGTAACACTGTGTCGGTATTGGCAACCACAGTATACCGTTAGGTGACCAGAGGTGTGAATGTTAGTGTGACTAGTGAATGTCTTCCACTGTCTTACTGTGTCTGACAGAACCCGGTTGGGAATCGAACCACAAACCCTCTTCACTTTCACTTTCACTTTCACTTTTACTCGAGCTTGGCGGGGCGCTCATTTCTCACAGTCCACTTGTCTCCCTCCAGT